ACACATTTCTTTTGTGTTTTGTACACATGGCTCCCATAAAGAAAACAAAAGTTATTTGCCTAGAGTCTGGCAGCAGTTCTTCAAGCCTGTTAGTCTCCAAACCAGTCCTATGCTAGTGAACTAATCTGTCAGCATAAACTCATGTAAAATCCCATAGCTGATTTTAAGCTTGCCCAGAATGAAAGACAAGATGTTCAGAAACTCAGTTTGAAGAAAGCACCACATGAGTCTGTCCCAACTGCATGTTGGAGTAGTGATAGTGATGGGATCCAAGGTGAGCACATCCAGTCTTGACTACTCATTGGTGGGAAAGGATTTAAAACAGTAGGGCAGAAATTTGTGTACAATAAGAGGGTCTTAAGGGGGAATGAATTTACATGGTTCAAAGCTCCTGAGGAAGCAGTTGAGTTAGCACAGCCTTGTGAGATGTTACCCAGACATTCACAAATTTTTTTCCAGTGATTCTTTGCCTTCTGATGAACTTTACTGCATATCAAACTCAGCAGTGATTTCATATAATCTCATCCTGATACAAAAAAACCTCACAAAAGTGTATTATAATACTTTGGTACAGAAATGGATTCTATTGTACTCTGCAGTACTTTGGAGTGTTACTATTTGCATATTATAGTTAATTATCAAGCACCATAACATCATCCTAGGGGAAAGGGCCACTGGCAACTTAATTCATTATCTTCTATTATTGTATCTCACATTAAAATGACAAGCATCTTATGCTGCATAAGTCAACACAATTTTAATTAATATATCCAAACCCGATAACCAACAGATAGAAGCATATCTGTGGGTTTTGTCCATTCTGAAACCTCCTAAATTTTTCTATGTAGGCACCTCCTCAAAATGTTTTCCATGTTCATTTGCTCAGAAATGTAACAAAAATGTTGTTTTTTAATTGAATAATTATATGAAAAGCTCAAAATTATAATAACCATTAATAACCACTGCAGTTTCCACTGAAATCTGTATCTAGGAAACAGTGGAAAGATTGCAATAGTAAATGAGCTTCTTTGCTATATATTGAACTCATGCTTCTGAGATGAGACTCATCCACCCACTGAGCATCTACTTGAGCAGGGTCAGGGCTCAGAGACCCAGGGCAGGTCAGTGTGGGCCAGCCCAGGTTTTCAGTGCTGTTTGTAGCTGAGGAGAGGGCACCAGAGGAGCAGCCCTCAGCAGCCAGAGGTGCTGGCCAGGGTTGCACCCTGTAGAGCAGGAGGAGCAGTATGCTCCCTTTGCTGCACCTGGGCACCCACTGCCTCTGCCTTCAGACCCCAAACTCACAGTAGTCTAATTTACTAAATCCAGTACGAAATCAATCTTTTATTAGCTTGAACTGCTTTAGTGTGCTAGATTATACTGAATAGAGCCCCAGCAGGGGCCTTATTCCTTACTTGTGTTCAGGTCCTGTCTGGCTGAAAGGAATGGCATACAGGGATAGTCAGTACCTGACAATGCCATCAACAAGTAAAATCACTCTAATCATATTCTGAAGACTATTTCAAGCTTGCTGAAGTATTGAAAGGGATGGTGTAGTTCCACACAATATTTCCCCATGATACCATAGTCATATTCTAGAAATCAAGCACTCCTTAATTTTAGAAGAAAAAGAAACTTAATTCCACCATTAAGTGTTACACTGTTTCGTGAGCATACAGAAGAGATAATACCAGAAGCCACCACCTGATTCCACCAGAAAAGTTACTATCTGAGCCTAGTAAAACCAGGAACTTGACTTCAAAAATCTTTAATTACCATGAAACACATTTGTAAAACAAAAAAACACAGGTGCTCCCTTTATTTTTGGCCTTCAGCCATAGCGTTTATTTAGCCCAGGGTACAGGAGGAATTCACACTTCTGTTTGTGCAGCCATAACTTCAGCCCATTGTTTTACTTCCAAATTAGGTTATGTGGAAGCTTTGACAAAGCTGCTGTTTTCAAAAATGCCAGACAACATCCTCAACATCAAAATCAATGTGAAATGTACTAGTATTAATTGGGATGCAAGAACATTTGCATCAATATACAATATTAAATAAAATGTACAATATAAAGTAAATGCTAAGACTATGCAATTAAGCATTCTGCACAAAATCCAAGCTGGTTTAATCTTTCTCTTTTAAAAGTGCTTTTAATCATGAATTGGAAGGTAAAAGAATTAATACACACTTTAGCATCAATTTCTGCATAAAGGACCAAGCAGGCAGAACAGTGTAGTCTTTAATGTGACCACTTTTTCAGAATAGACATTAACTGAGGCTTTTTCATGCACAGTTGCTTTTGTATAAACTGATTGACACCTTTGGGGGTCGTCTTTCCACTGACTCATAATTTTGCTCACTCTTGAAAAAAGCCTTCTGCACACCTACTATTCTCTAGTTAAAGCTGAAAATTCAACTCATCATATTTACACAATTAAAAAAAAAAATCCATTCTGCGTTGTTTTTAATTGCAAATCCTACTCAAGGGACCAATTCTCCTGCTTAGGAGGCAGCCCTGTGCCTTCTACTAGAGAACCAACTGCAGTCAATTATGGTAATGAAATGTCAATAAATATAAAAATTTAATACAGCCTGTTCCTGGTGAGTGGCAGATGAGGACTTGCCTCCCAGACAAATTTGCTGGTGCTGCAAATATTAAATGCACCTGAAAGAGGAGCAGGTTGCCTGAGAGCTCTCCAGTAGAGGGATGCTGGGAGATCCAGGCATCTACTGGGTTTTTCCATTATGGCATAATCGCTGCACAAAGGCCACTGATATTCTTGACATTCAGACATCTTAACTTCTTATTATGAAGTGAGTAGCATATTTTCCCCACAAACTGGAAGCTCAGTAAGGGATTTTGAGCTTCCTCCCCCCCTGCTTAACAATTACAAAAGGGAAATTAAGTAGAAATTAAATTGATCTTTGAGTGAAAATTATTTGAGGTATGTTACTTTATTTTTTCTTTTTATTTATATAAGTATATATACATCAAGAAATATGCATAAATGCATCTATAGAAAGAGTAATAAATAAGAGGGGAACTAAAAAGTAGTTTTTGAAAGATGGATAGGCTGGGGTTTCCAAAGATCAGATCATAGTTTAGCCACAGATTTCTTTGGCTCTGAGTAAGCAATTTAATGTCACTACTTCAAGTTTCCCCAGGTGTAAAAGAGCAATAAAACCTACCTCACAGGATACTTCAGCATAATCCATAATCCATGCTCCAACACTGCAAAGTGTTATTATTCTTAACCTCCATTCAAAAAGTGTAACCTCATTTTTCTTGTGCAGTTGCCTCCAGACAGTTGGTAGGAAGCAATAAGACTACATATAAATGAAATCACTTATTAAAAGCCAGTAATTTATTGATTATATTAAGGTCATTACCATGAAAATTTAATTTTAGTTTCTTTTAGTCATCTTTCTATCTTTCCTTACTGAAATCTTGAGAGGTTAAAAGTATTTTTTTTTAATGTTGTTTATACTTGAGCAAAATCAATTCAATAGTTTTCAAATAAAATAATTTTTTAAAAAATTAAACTACATGTTCCTTAGCAATTTTTTTAAAGAAACAGATTTTAAGGGATCAGAGAGTAGAAAAACAAAGTTTTGCAGTATTGATTTGTTTCCTGTGGTGACACCTCTCCATTCTTTAACTACTGTTTTAGGAAACCTTTAAATCTCAGCCAGTTGGCCAGGAGTGGTTCTCTGGGGAGCAAGCAGCACACTCACCAGGACATTTCCATGGGACAGTGGCACTTGAAGGGGACATTGAGCACTCTGATGAAAAGTGGGCTGAGCACTGAAGCTGAAGCTGCTGCTCAGGTCACCCCAGTTCTGATAGAGCAGTTACACCCTGCTCCACACCAAACCATTGCCCTGCCCTGGAGCCTGCCCACCCTTCCCTTCACCTTCCCATCACAGCATTCCCACAGGCTGTACCCTTCCCCACTGGTCACTATCCTGTGACAAAGTGACACCTTCAGAGTGGCAGGGGCCAGGGCAGTCTCCTGCATAGAAACATCCCTGCAACAGGAGTGCCATCAGCCAGAACAGTTTCAGCATGCCGGGCTTGGGGAGGTTGCCCAAGATTCAAGAATCACCCGAGGATGAGTCAGCAATGACAGACTTTAAGTATCCTGTGCTTGTGAATATTCCCTTTTTTAATAAGTGTATTAAGTCAAGCTTTCTGTTGGATCTCTGTGTACAAGAAAAGCTCCAGGCAGGTCAGCCTGCCCTGAGAACCAGAGGCAGCATGACCAGCAGAGCCCAGAGCAGCACCACTTGTCCCCCTAGCCCAAGGAAGGAGCTCTGTGCACTGTGGTCACTGCTGGGGACAATGCAAGGGCACCTGGGCTGTCACACACCTGCCACCCTCCTTCCCCTGCAGGACAGCATTTAGCAGAACAAGTGAGTTCCAATCAACTCCAACAAATACAGGGGTTTTGTGTAGCTGAGGAGAGCAGCAACCACCCACACAATACCTCTGTTTCCTGTGGGAATACACCGACATTTCTGGGCCTGAATAGATGTTTCTGGCCAAGTTCTGGACACAGGACTGTTTCCCATTAATATTGTTGTGTCCCTCTGAAGCAATACAGCCAGGGTAGGCACAAAGCTCACTGCGTCAGTCATTCTTCGCAGGATCATATGATTACAGTGAGAACAGGAGACACCAAATGAACAACACAAATTTAGATGTGGACAACTACCAGTGTTATAAGCAGCTCTCATATTTAAAGCTTCTAAAAAAGCTAATACAGACAAACCAGCACACACAGTGATGTCATGTACCATTAAGATGTATGGTTTAATGTTATTTCTAATATATACCATTGGGTTAAAATTGGTTTATATATAAAATCATCTTGACTTGATAATATCATTAAATTAAGAGTGATTTCTATATCCAGGAGTATCCTGGTTGTATATTATTGCTTGAAACATCCTAAAGTGTGGGCATGACAACAAGACAGGAATACAATTCTCTTTTACAGGTGGATTATTCCGTAATAGTATCCCAAGCTGGAGCCACCCTCAATAATCTTATGAGCCATGCACAAGAACTGGTAGCAAAGCTTCGTTCGCTGCAGTTTGACCTACGAGAATTTGTCTGTCTCAAATTCCTGGTGCTGTTTAGTTTAGGTAGGTACGCTCTAATCTTCATACTTTTTGTTCTTTCTAAAAACATTGAAAATATTTTGCTTTTCTTCAATTTTTCATGAAACACATAATTTTGAAATATGTTTAATGGGGTTCACAGTAATCTGAGGATAATTTTTTTAATTATCAGGTGCAGGAAAATTATGTATAAGTATTAAAAGTGTGTTTCCATGGAATTGATTCCTAAAACACATGGAATTTAATGGAGAATTATAAACCTTCTGTATTTTGGTATGTGAATACTGAATTTTCCAGTATAAGGATAAAATTCTATTAGACATCCTAGAGAACAGTGGAAAATACAGATTGCCATGTTCTTCTATGATATTGAATACAGTTTTGTAAAGCACATGGAGTGAGGATATTGTTGAAATTTCCCTCTTATTCAAAGGCATCTGTGGTAAGTATAAACAATCTTCTTTACATATAATGGCTGTCACACTGTAACCCATAAATCAGGAATGTATCTCATAGTTTTTTAAAAGTAAAAGGAACTCCTAAAGTGCAAATTAATGATAATAGCTTTAAGACAGAACTGGCTATGAAATAACCTTTAAAGGGAAGATTGTTTTATACTAGTGGAGAGGACAGAATGGGAAAGATACCTATGCAAGACAGATTAGTTAAACCAGTCCCGTCCAATAAATCAGTTGAGAAAAATCACTGGTGCCAAGAATAAGAAAGATCTTAGGGAGATGGATTCCTATTGACTTCATGGGAAGAGATTTTTCTGCCTGTCCTCTGTTTCAGGTTTGCACTTTGTTGTAAAGCTGGTCTAAATGAACTTTGCCCAAGTGAATGTTTTTTTCTGGCAGACAGTTGAAAGGAGAGACTTAAAAACATAACCCAGACATAAAATGTCAACCCAGACATATCTCCATAGCAAAACCTCCTCTTTTACTGAAAAGGTGTTTTTGTCTGCAAAGAGAGTGACTGGGGAAGCCAAGGACACTATGAGAGATATCAGCAGTGGTGACATTTAGTAATGCTTTCCTTTCATTTTCAGTTTAAACAAAATCTGTAAAGGTATAAAATTCTAAAAATAAATTATTGTAATACAATTGCAAGTAGACTAAAAGAGACACTTTTGATTACATTTCAGATCTCAGTTACAGTTTTAAATATGTCCTTCCTAGGGACTGTAACCTCCTAGGTTATAGAATTTGAACCTGCGTGAGACAATTTTAGGTAAAGCTCCCTTTAAATGCAGGGAACATAAAAGACCAATATTTCAGAGGTACAGGGGACAGAACATGCAGAAGATAGAAAATAATTATTTTACAAATTAGAATGAAATAAGAATGATGCTAACAGAATGGATCATTCTGAGGTATGTCCATTTTGAGTCCTAGGAAGAGATGATGGATTTCCTTGGTAACTATTAACATTTTATATTCAGGGCTTCATTGCTTGAATATCTTAGATTCAGAGAAGCAAAAGCAAACCATCTGTTGCAGAAATTATGTTTTATGAATTAATCTGATGGATAACAAGAATTCATATTTCCTAATTCCTAATAAGTAGGTTTTTCAGTCATTATACAGCGGCACAAATAAAGCCTGTAGCTTTCTTCTGATAAAATATTTAGAGAATTCATGTCAGTTCAGAAACATTTTAAATTAGCTGAATAAATGAAGTGCATTTGAAAAACTCTCACATTTAGGTGGTTTTTTTTATTTAATGATTTTCATCAGCTGTTCTGGTACTTTGCACTGATTTAGGAATCATTCTCACACCTCTAGCTCTTCTGATTCTGCCAGGTACTGTGCTCAGCTTCTGAAGTACTTGGCAGAACTAACTTGCAGACTTGCAGCAAGCCAGATTACCCAGTTTTTCTCTCATTTATGCTACTATTAAATGAGCTAGTTTTGCTGCTAATAGGAACCTTGTAATCACATAACTTGCACATAAAAGTGATGAAGCAAAGACAGCTCTGACACCTTTTAAATCAATTAGTTCATTATTTAACATACTGCAGAATTCCACTTACTAATAGTCAGAGCTCTGACTCTGCAAAGAGTAAAATGTAAAGATGTTACCACTTGACGCACAGGACAGAGGCAAATATTTAACAAGAACAATAACAAGATTGAAATGAAAAACACGGATACACTTTTCATCTAAGCACTTAAGTCTGTGCCCAAAAATGAATCATGTAGCTGAAATTAATAAGACACCTCACAGCCTAAGAGCAAGCCACGTTTAGAAGACATTGAAGTGTCTAACAATGCTGGTAGGCATTCAGCAGGGCTGTCAGAACTAGCTAAGCATCCAATTCTACATAAATAACTGGGAGCAATTATTGTACCTAAGTATCTAGGTTCATTTAGCACATATCTGTATCTCTTAAGCATCTCTACAGAAAACTGGTCCTAATGCCAATAATGTACCACTTAATAAAAAGGAAATTTCAAAAACCTCAGCTGTTGACAACCTGGCCCTGTAACGTTTTTTTTTTTAATAACTGTATAGATATGAGACTGCCTTGTAAAGCTGCTTGTTATTCATGGCTGTACCATCCTCTCTGTCTCTCCACAAGACAGCAATTTCCTTTAGGGCAAAGAATTTGGTCTCTGCCTTTTTTCTTAACATTTCAGAAGTGATTATCTTAGTAAACTACCAGTAAAACCATGTTCAAAACCCAAAGCACTTAGAATAATTTTTCAAAATAGAATTGAACTATATCAGTTTTGCTTGCTAGATTTTAAATGAAAGAGGTAATTGTTATCTACTCATGAGGAGGTCCAAAGGATTTATACAGGAAAATCCTTTTGATTTTTGGCAGCATTAAAGAAGATGCTGCTGAGGCTTAGCCAGATGCATATTAAATGTAGCTGTTGTGGCTGGCAGTGCACAACTCCTCCTGCAGTCAGACTGCATGGCCCCACCTTGGTGAGTGGGACCCCCATGCACAGGAGCTCAGCTCCTTTCACCAGGGCCACCTGCTCTGGCTGGGACCCTCTGACCAATACTGCCAACTACATAATGGTACAGTTGACTCAGCTATTATTCAGTAAGCCAGAAGAGTTTGGTAAATAGCCTCTTTAGTGTGATACCGCTTTAGTTCGGTGCTATCAAATATTTAAATATGTAGAGCTACATAACTTTTTAATTCCCCCTCTCAGTTGCAAAAAGCAAATGGCTTTACATGTAGGTAGTTCTTACCTTTGTACATAAAAGTCTTCCATTGCAGTTCCCCTTGCCAACCCTTCTTTGACTGATGTTTACATTATATCTGCAAAGCCCAAACGTATCTGTTTTCTGGGGCATCGTTTCTGTGATTTCACATATAGAGATATTCTCCCCTTAATTCCACCTTAGGGAGTGAAGATAATCCATATGTCAAACCACAATTTAACTCAGGTATGCCAGCCAATTTTTTTTTTCCAGTCTAAACACAGGTGAATAAAAAAACAAACCAGCAGTATCAAGAGATATGCAAGTATGGATTTCTCCACTTCTTTGTTGCATTTGACAGGTTTCCTCCAATGAAGTAGAACCAATATGATACGGTTATGATACGATATGATAATGCAGCAACTGTAGTCACACCATTGATGGAAAGTTAGTGGCCAGGCACAAATTTCAAAAATGTGAAAGAATAAAGAAATCTTTGACTGACTTGAGTGTTAACCTACTTTCAACACTACTCGATGAGCTCATGTCCAGCACATGGAATGTGAACATCTGAGACAGGTGCTGATGACACCGTTCTGCAACCATTTATCAGATTTACCACCAAATACAATAAACATCTCTAACTTTCTGAAAGCTGGCTAAATTGAGGATAATGTGAATTCTTTATCCTAATCCCAGAGTAAAAATACAGCAAATTTTTCTATAGCATATAACCAGTACAGGCTGCAGTAGACATTATCAAAACGTAGGCCAAAAACTAAATACAAATGATTTGTCTTCAATAATTGCTGGCTTGAATCAAGAAAAATTACAGATAGAAAAAGCAAATGTGTCAGTTTATCAAGCTCTTTGAATTTTCACTACCACATTTGACATTAGTTTGGAAATTCCTCTCTCCTTGTCATAAATCAGAATTATAAATAAAACAAATAAACAAAAGCAAACAAATCACCTCACATATGCTGTTGAATTGTCTAATTCTGGAGCTGAAATAGATTCATATGCTCCACTGGGAGATGCAATTTTGACCTCACTAAAGCCAAGAGAATTTTATTTTTTTACTGGAGTCAAAATTCAGTTCTTATCACAAAACAAAATTCAAAAGAAATTTTCATCAATTAAATTTGACAAATGGCAAATTGACAAATTTAAATGATGCTTGAAATGGTGCCTCAAATGAGATATTTTCTGTCATCTTCCTTTCACCATCCAGTAGCTTTATGGACTGGTCATTTCACCTGAAATCAGCCTTTTTTTTCTCTTTACAAAAATTTCCCATTTGTCCTGCCAGTTTTTATTATGTGAACTCAGCAAGGATGATTTTTCAAACTCCCATCACAGCAGTTTGTAAAGTGAAATGCCAGTAGGAAAAAGTTAGACATCATTTGACCCACGTCCAGGCACTTTTCCAGCTGTGGAGCTAAATGCTGGACTAGGCAGCAGCTGAGTGGTACTGCTCCCTTATCACTGTCAGGACACAGAAAAATGTACTTCATCTGGGAAATGAAGGCTTATCAATGCAACTGACAAATAATTGCAGAGCCTCTATTGATCTCACATCCCACGTAATGTGACACAAGAGGGTCCAGTAAAAATAATAAACATTTAATCGTAGTGGACATCAAACAATGGGTTCTTGCTTAAGCAACAGAATAAAACCCTAGCAAAAAAGAACTCGGTTTTTGAACAAACCACAGTCCTAAGCAGAAATTCATCTAGTTCTGCAACACTCCATTCTCATTTCTGTTAAAATGAGAGGAATACTAGCAAGTTAAGAGGGATATTAAAAAAGGAATCTTTTCTTGCTTTTAATCTCCATAAGGTGTCAGAACTGAGATGGGAGG